ACACAGACGGATGTAACGGAGAATCGGGTAATTTTTCAAAATAAAATATCTTTAGTATTCCAAAATAAATACAACGGAATTAATGTAAATTCTTATTGTGCGGCCCGGTACCAAATGCCCCGCGGACCGGCGGTTGGGGACCCCTGGTCTATGCCGAAAATAGCCGAGTGTAGCTATCCGCGCTGTTATATTCTGCAATATGAAAACGGATAACCCTCATGTATTTGGGGGTAGGAAAAAGAAAAAGTTTAGCGCTTCTGTGCTAGCTCTCAGGAAAAGGATTGTGGCTCGGATTCGAGTAGCATCTCTGAGATTTGGGAGGTGATTTTTTTTTTTTTTCGCGGCAAAGAACGATGACTTGAGGTTGTACATGCACACATGAAAATGAAAGCGGCATTAAGTGATGAAAAGATTTTTTTTTTTGTGACGGCTAAAGACGTAATTTGTCCGTTGTCCAAAAAAAGTCGAAAACAAATCTTGAGGGCCACCGTAGCAAGGCCAAGATGACAAATTGTGGACGTGATGAGCTCCAATCAAGTCCTCTGCCACTTCCTCTGCCACTTCCTGTTCATCTGACAGGAAAACAGCATATCCAAAATCTTTTTGTTGTTGTTGAATTTTTGTGGAGATGTATTCCGCAGTTTGCCAACATGGACGTCGTTTGTGTTTCCGAAATTGGCCGACATCCGCTCCGTCTTGAGATCTTGAAAGATCCTTGCAAAGGTGTTTTGAGTAAGGAAGGAGGCGGGACACACACACACACACACACACACACACACACACACACACACACACACATTTACGAATATTCCATCCGTCCGTCTGTCCATTGGTGGTGGTGGGGGTGTGAGGGGGATGTCCAAAATGCAGGGAGGAAATGAGTAATCCGATCAGAAATGGAAAATAAAACAACTCCAGCCCCGTCTGAGGCAACCATCGACTCCAAATTTGAAATCTGCGTAACAGCGCAGCCTTCTACGCTGGATGGGGAGAACTCGATTCTGTTGAATTTGTGTCCAAAACTAAAGCCGTTTTTGTCATTTTTAGCAGCAAGGCGAATTAGTGGACTTTTTTTTTTTTTTTTCAAAATGACGTTACAATTCTAGTAGGATGGTTCGTCACTTTTGTTGTATTCATGTCCGGATGTCCAAATCGGTTTCGGCGACAACATGGCACAATACCACACCGCAGTTTCCCTTTGGGAGAATTTTTGGGGGTATCATTCAAAGTACCTGCAATTTTAATCAATTCCAGCAACAACACAACAGCAGTTTTCCTATGAGGAGAATAAATTAGAATGCGAAACAAGAGGAGGCGTGTTGACGTTTTGCCGTCGAGGCTCCCAAAAGTACTTGCAGATTTCAGCAACAACTTGGCACACAAAAAAAAAAACCTTAGCACTGCCGTTTCCTTTTGGGCAGAATGATTTTTGTCTGTCGTATGAGACTCGCGTTTTTGTATTTGTGACAACGCTATGCGATGACATTCCAATGACGCTGGGACTTTTGTGTTCAACGGGAAAAGGGAAAAATGATTTTCAGATCATGCGCAAAGCTCCATTGAATTGAATACGCCGCAAAGACAAAGATGTTTCGTGCTCAAAGTGATAAAACTTTGCTTATTGTCATCGTGAACAATCGCATTTTTGGAACGTGTTGCAGCCATAAAATTCCAAGTCATTGATTATTTTCAAAAAGCAAAGTTTATCAGTTGGAACATTAAATATATTGCCGATGTAGTGTGTTGACCTCAAAGTATTTTTATTTGTTTTTTTTAATGTTTAAGACAACGTCATTGGAATTGGGTTTGTATCATGAAGTGTTTTGACAGTGCGGAAAAAAAGTGCCTTGCATCCACGGTTGACTCAGCTCAAGCTTTTAGCCTGGTTGGGGGCAGGACAACGCTGCTTTCTCTGCTCGCTCTTATTTACAAGAAGAAAAAAAACCCCACGACAACAATTGCGAGAACAAGAACGACCGTTGACGACGACGAGTAGCAAGAACGCTAAAAGCGAGTGTCTATTTCCATTCGTTCATTGGCCACAAAGAATATCTTTGCTCTTAAAGTCAATGCGGGACGGGGGAGGGGTCAATATGACCCACATCACGCACAATTGCTCCGTTAGCCAAATAAGCTGAGCATACTTTACAAGGGGTCCCCCTAGTGGCCATCCGGGGCGGAGGACGACGACGGGGTGCTGGGCGTGGACGAGCGAGGGGCGGCGGGCGGGGTCGGAGCCGGACTGCCAACGCAGCTGCTGGGCGTGCAGGCTGACGAGCTGACAGGGGCGGGGGTCTCTGGGGCGGGGCCGGCAT